GTTTATTCCCTCACACACTTTCTCCTTCATTCATTCACTCACGCAGTCATTCATTCACTTACACACTTGCTGATGTGTTCACTGTTTCACTCATTCATTCACTTACACACTCACTCATTTGGCCATGTTCACTTTTGCTCATGTATTCACTATTCCATGACTTTTCTGCTGTCCACTTTTTATGCTAATGTTTCCTCCATTTTTTAAGCACTCGCGCATTCATTTACATCCTCATTCATTCATTCATTCATTCATTCATTCCTTTACTGATTCGGTCACTCATGCACTCACTCGTTCATTCATCCACTCTTTACCTTACCAAGTCACATAATCACTAATTGACTCATTTGTTCACTCATTCAACCCATTCATTCCCACACATCCTCATGTATTCATTAATTCACTCATTCATTCGTTCATTAACTCACTCACTCACTCACACTTTTACTCACACGTTCATTCACTTCCATTTGTGCCTTAACCCCATCACTTATTCTTAAATTCTCTCACTCTCGTTCATTCATTCACTCCCTCACTCGTTCACTCACTGACTCTCCCGTTTCCTCTCACTCCTCGTTCTCTTCCTTCTTTTCTATATCCGTAACTCATTTCTTCCTCTGCATCTTTTTTTTGTTTGGTGCACTTTTGCAATTACACTAATGTCTCCTCCATTTATTTATTTATTTATTTATTCATTTTTTTTTTTCAAATCATCATTTGGTGCCCAAGCAGGCACCCAAACCCCCCCCCATCACCCCCCCCCACCCCCCTCCGTTATTAACGTTAGCAGAGCGCTAATCCTTCGCGGGGCGTCTCTTCCCGGCTCCTCGCCGTTTCAGGTGTTCCTCATTTATCTTTGTTAATATTTTCTCCTGCGTGCCAGCTGGGTACCGGTGCCAGCCGGCTCTAAAATTGGGCACGGGGGCCGTCGCTCGCTGTCGCCGCCGCCGACGCTGATGTAGCGGCGACTTTAGGTGTGAACGGCTACAGCAATTGGGATCGGGATCGACATTTGTCACACTGCATTTGGAGTGATGGAATCAACTGTAATCAATTATTATAATGCTTTAATTTTTTTCAGTCTGATTTTAGACATAAAATTCCAGCAAAATCTATTCCTCTTTTCCGACAACCGGCAATCCTTGAAGTTTTTAAAGGCTGTTCCCGGCTATGGGAAGCATTTCCCTCAGTTTTTGTGTTTGTTTTTGTTTTTTTGTTTTTTTGGGCTTTTTTGTCTTAGTTGCCACGACGACGCAGAGCTTGAGAAACCGTCCCGGAGACAATGAGACACTTTTGTTTTAACAGAAGCCCCTTCACCCTAGCTAACCCCCCCACACACACCTCCTGATGCCCCTTACCCCGACCACCCCCCCACCTGCGACGGCCTAGCTACAAGTCTGGGATAGGAGGGTGGGTGGATGGTAAGGAGGGGGGTGTTGGGAGGGGGGCAGTGACTTTATTTAGGAATTTAAGACAAGGCCTCTTTTGTTTTAACATGTGAAAGGCAGCAGCCCCCCAACGCCCCCCCCCCAACCCGGCAGGACGGGACGGGACGGCCCGTAATTGGCCTATTTAGGCCGCTTTGCATGTGAATGGCGGGCTAGCGGAGCGTTGCTAAGTCTGTTGTGAGAACTCCCAGTGATTGGAATTCAGATTAGACCCCAAACACTTTTCTCTACTTGATCAACTACACTAATTAGCCCCCGCTCGGTCCGGCAAGTTAACTCCGGAAAGTTTTTTTAAAGCTTGGTGGTGGGGGGTGGGGGGGTGGTCTGTGAAGGAAGTTTTGTCTCGCACTCACATCTTTCCTCTCCCTCTTCCCCTCCGCCCGTCTTCCCGAACAGTCGCACCCCGGCTGGAGTGGCACTCCGCTATCCGTTACTCTCTTTTTCCGCTTTTCTTTTGTAGAGATGAGCCGAAAACGCAGGTACAGGGTTTAGCTAGGCTAATCAGAGGATGTGCTTGCTCGGGGTAAGTGTGCGTCCGTGGATGCTGGGACGGGGTGGGGGGCAGTTGGGGTGTCACTGCATGTGATACGAACCCTCGGCACTCTGATAGACTGTGTTAGAGATATAGGGGCATCGTTTCACCCCTAGGGTAGGACCATTTATCCGAACTTTTTTAAAGTTGTATTCATGATTCTGATTAATGTGAATGATTTTGTCCTGCTAAACTTGTGTAAATGTGACTTAACAGTTATATAAAGACTGTTATTACAACATTTGAATGGAATTATCCTCTAATATGAGACTGTTTTAGCCTTCTAACCTTTTTTTTTGGTGTGACACAAAAGCTTTTCGCTCTAATCCCACTTTAAACCCCGCACCGTAACACTCTCCCTCACCGTCCACTAAAGCTCTCCAAAGCTGGCAGATCTTTTTTTAATACTTATTTTTTATTGCTGCTCTATTTTTCTATTTTCTATTTTAGTCTTTATTCTGGTATTTACAAATATAATATATACCAATAACACAATGTCTGCTTGTGAAATAGTGTGATACAGTTGATAATCCACATTGTAGTTGTGTAGAAATGCTGCTATATATTTTTTTATTTTTTATAAAATAAAAAAAGGCCTTCAGTTTATTTCGGTTCATGTTTATTGTTGTTACGTGTGAGTCTGCAGTGCTCTGGGTTGTTCTGAAGCGCGCAAGACAATAAATAGAGAATGTTTGTGTTTCCTGCAGCCGGGCCTCATGGGAGGAGAGATGGGAATGGTCAGTCCCGGGACGGTTTCCCCAACCAAGCCGGGCTCACAGTACTACCAGCATTACGGCAGCAACCCCCGCCGGAGACCACTGCACAGCGACTCTATGGGTGAGCACTTCGTCATCATCATCACCATCATCATCATTGTCGTATTTGGATATTCATATTTGCTGCATCCCCCAAACATGAGGACTGTGTTATACACTGCAGTGAATCAGCTGGTCCTCATTATGCTCTGTATGTTCTAAATAGGGGAACATACTCATACTAAATACTGAAATTCTGAAATTCATGTAAATATTTCAAAGATTCTGCTTCTCACTCAAATTGTTGTGCACTTGTAATTAAAAAAATATATATTCAATTTGAAAGGAAAGCAAAATAAAAGCATTTTCTCCATTATATATACAGTATATTCACACACACACAAGAAAAACATCTCCATTTTTATAAAAAAAAATTTCTGTCATTTGAACACAGCATTTCTCCTTTACATTGTCTGAAAATTTCATGATGATTGGATCAACAGAAATGCCCCAAAATCAATTAGAATAAAATCTCTTTACATTAACTCACATTAAAAGTTAAGGTTTTTTCCCTCTTCTGTAAGCTTACCATTTTGGAGATACTTGTTAGTGACAATATATAAAGTTCTTACATTTAATGTAAATGAACATAATTTAATTGTATCAATTTACATCAATCTATGTATGATGAAATGCTCAGTGTTGACAAATACTAATATTAAAAATAAAAAAAAATACATATAGTCATTGTTATGCAAGAACCTTTGTTTTGTATGTCCATTTCGGTCATTGCTTATGTAAAAACTTTACTCCCTTTGCATTTTATTAAAATGTCTTGATGAATGGATGAATAGTGATGGTCCAAAATTACTTGGAAAAAAAGATTTCCTACATAAATTTCCGTTACATTTTAAGACTGTTTTCTTCTTTTTTTCTGTAAAGAAGTTACCATTCTGAAGATATTAGTTATATGACGAGATGTATATATATGTTAGGGCACCCTTGCCCAAATGTGACACCCTAAATTATGTTAAACTGTATCATGTATTGATTTTGTAATTAAAAAGAAGTCAGCACATCCTCTACAGGGAGAACAATGTGTAATATTTTGCCATATTTCCCATGTTCCCTCTAGACACAATTATCTACAATTAGAAAAGCAACAAATTAAAAAAAATCTTTTAATCAGAATTTACCAAACTTTTATATATGGCTTTTCATAATTTAATACATATAAAACCTAGTATCTTCAAAATGGTAACTTTACAGGAGAAGAAAAAAACTACTTTACTTTTAATAACATATTTACCGTTTGTTTTGGTCCATTCGTCATCAAATTTTCATACAATGTAAAAAACAACAGCCATTTCCAGATTATGACAGATTATGATATATATATGTATATGTCGTCACTGTCAAATAAAACAGCTATCTACTAAAATACTAACTTTACAGGAGAGGGCAGAAACACTCTTACCTTTTAATGTAAGTTAATATAAAGAGGTTTTATTCTAAATGATTTTAGAGCATTTCTATTGGTCCAAACATAATGAAATATATACACAATGTAAAGGTCAGCTGGTGAGTTGAAATGATGTAGAAAATTAAAAATGGACAAAATAGAAAAAAATTTTCTTTGGACAGCAACGAGATATATATATATATATATATATATATATATATATATATATATATATATATATATATATATACACACACTATGTGTGTGTGTGTGTAAATGTGTTTTATAGAAACCCAAAGTGAAAACACTTTACAGGTTTTAAAAAAAAAGACAGCATTTATATTTTTTCATTTCTGTTTATTAAATAATCTCCAGGCTGTACGTTTTTTTTTCTGCTTTTGGAGAACGTAAACACGACGGCCTGCAGGCGTCGAGGCCCTCCAGGCAATTTACACTTCCTTTCATTTCCTGTGTGTATGAAGTCTCACCTTTTCACACCCACACACACACACCTCATACAGGAATAGACACCAAAAATGCCGGACGATCATTTGAGATTTTGCTCTCAGTGATCAGCCTCTAGTTTCCGTGCTTGTTTGTCCAGTTTTGTTGTCTTTTCTTCTTCTTCGTCCTCGTGTTCGGGGGCAGCGGCTGGAGTCTCACAGTTCACTCTCATCTGGATCGGCTTACTGACTTTATGCAAGTGTCACATCAGAAAATATGCTTCTGATTTTTTTTATGTTGTTTTTGCAGAAGTCCAGACGAAGAAAGTGCGCAAAGTCCCGCCGGGTCTGCCCTCCTCCGTAAGTCACGGCTTTGGGCTTTTTATTCTTTTTATCTCAGAGAAAAGGGGAGTGTGAACAATGGTCATGCCTCTGGAAGCTGAACAGGGGTCAGTGCTGGCTGGAATATGTTCCGAAATACAAAACTGTGGCACAGGGAAAAAGCGGCGTCGCTCTTTTTTCAGTTTATATTATCAGGACACATCAGATGAGTGAAGAAATCTTTAATAATCAGTGCAATATTTAGGGGTCTTTCTACCATTGCAGTGGAAAACTGGCTGCACATTTTAATGTGTAATTCAAATGTAAAACGTAACACCACTGACAGACAGTAACACCACTGACAGACAGTAAGACCACTGACAAAATGGTCAAATCTGAGGTTTTCAAAAATATAGTCCAATTCCACTTTGAGACATTGTCTGTAGAAAATATTGGATTCATGTTATTTCATTGCAATTTTAAATTCACTTAACATTCTATGAGTTACACCGCTGACACCGTATATAGACATATATAAAATATAAAATACATATTAAATGAGATTTCACTGAATTTGTTAGCCTTACTTCTTTATGATGTCCAAAAAGACCTTTTTTGTTGTTTTTGTTTGTTGGTTTCAATTACCTTTTATTTTTCAGTCACACCATTGACAAAAAATCTGGGGACAAAGTAAAACTAGATTTATACATTTTGAAAATTTTGAACATGTGACACATTTAATTTGATCATTTTTACAATACAAGCTGAAAAACAGGCAGCAAAATTGTTTTTTCACACAACAATAATACTTCATGTGTGAGGTCACTCCTGTGACATGCTGATGACAAAAAAATCAGTTTTAGAAATTGTAAAAGAAAAATTAGCATAAATTTTTGTGGTTTAATTTGGGAATAGGAATAAAATAGAGTGTTACTTTGAGCTTGTTTTCATAGCTTTATTGGGACCCTGCAATGGTAGAACAACTCTTATATTAATAATAATCAGCCTTTTTCTGCATATTTTATTTTTTGATGTCCACTTGTAGCATCTGTGTTGTTTTATGTACAGTCCTAACTCATTTTTTACCATTTTCCAACCTCTCTGCATAGAATCAAACAGGCTGTTTTTATTACTGTGCCTTGAAGACTGATACAGTCATGTGCAAAAGTTTGTGCACCCCAGTCAAATGACGTTTTGTTGATTGAAGTGAACTCAGCCTCCATGGAGATCACGCTTCTACACTGTTTAGTTTAACATCTTGGAAAACAAAATATAAAATGTGCTATAATTTTTTTTTCCAATATGTTAAATTTAACAAAACTTTTTTTTTTCCCTAATTGTGCATTAAAACGTGCATTAAAATTTGCGCTTGTCACTCATCAAATCAACAAAAATTCAAACAGGGGCGCTCAAACATTTGCAACCGACTGCGTATGTAAATCACCTCTGTTCTGATTGGCTCGTTCAGAAAGCAGGCCAGGCTGAGATGGTGCTTAGAACGTCAGCGTGAATGAGCGACGGCTAAACAGCTGTAGGCTGAATAGGATGGCTGTATGTTAGCCTGACATCACAAAATTCACAGTGAATTCTAAATGGGCTGTTTTTCAGCTTAGTTTCTGTATGGAAACTGTATTTGTACATATTATTTTCTGAAAAGTCAGAAATTTGGTTTTCTATGATGTGTCCCTTCCACGCAAAATGTTGGTTTAAATGCAGAGATCCTGCGATTTTAAACTGCATAATCCTTTGGATGCTTTTAAAGGTCAAGAGGCTGACTGTTGGCTCTCGTGTGTGTGTGTGTGTGTGTGTTTGTGTGTGTTTGTGTGTGTTTGTGTGTGTGTGTGTGTGTGTGTGTGTGTGTGTGTGTGTGTGTGTGTGTGAGGACCTTCGCTGAGGCTTAATGTGCTGCTAACGATGGCTGAATGTATGGCTTGTCACAGCCGTCCTGCGCGTCTGTGCCTCTTCGCTCTGTGGGTTGCCGTCCAGGCCGTTTGAAGCATTGTCCTTCTTTTGAAAAAATAAATAAATAACTAAATAAAAAAATAACCTTTAAAAATAACATTTTAAAGGGGTAGTTTGGTGAAAAATCAAATTTGCACATTTTACCCCTTACCCCTAGTGTAGTCAGTCAGCCAACACACGTTTGGTTCTGAGGTTTGCTTCTTTAGTTATAGCACTGAAGCTGTGAGGCTAAGGAAGCTAACAGATAATGAATTGTTAACCGTTATCGTGGTGCTAACTGCATTCCTACATCATTACACTTGCCTCAGATACACTTGTGTGTGTTCTGACGCTGTATGGCACACTGTCATCTATAAACATGGACTAAAGTACAGACAGTGTTCAGCTGTTTGTAGCTATGCTAGCATTGATTTTTATATCTCGCTGCTGTCAGAACAAAACCTCGTATGTCCATTTTGTCATTTTGTCATTGTCATTTTTTCAGTTTTTGTCATAATTTGAAAATGCTTGCTGCTCTTTACATTGTGTGTAAATTTCATGATGAATGGACCAAAAGAAACGGCCCAAAATGACTTGGAAAGACGTCTGGTTCCATTGACTTACATATATATATATATATATATATATATATAAAAATTAGATTTTTCACGTTGCTGTGACTTTAAATCAAGACTCTCTTTGACTGCTGGGTGACTGATATCCTAAACAAACTGGAAGTGATTTTATATTTGAAAGCTTGTGACGTGGTTGTCATTGGTGCAAACTTTATTCACTAATTGTGGGATTGTTGTCCCGGTCATGGGACAGTTTGGCTGCTCCTGTTTGATAAGAAAGGCTAAATCTGAGAAGTCCAGAGTTGGTGAAAACTCTTTTGTGTATCGCTGATAAATTTGGCTAAAAAGATTGTCAGCGGTGTTACTCCTTAAACACTGTGATTTTAAAATTGAAAAGAAATAACAAGGTAAATGCAACATTTGTGTTTTTCTACATATGGTGTGACTTTGAAACTAAAGTGAAGGTGGACTTTATTTTAGAAAAGCTATTTTAGAAAACTTCTGTCAGCGGTGTTACAACTGTCAATATTGCAATGTTTTACTTTTCAGTTTCAACATTCGTGCCTTGTTTGCCAGCGCAAAGTTAGAATGGTCTAAAATGTAAGTGTAGTGTCTTTATATACACTCTAAAATTAGATAACAGTATATCATACTTTTTTAAAATTGATTTCTCTCAAAGGTATTTTTTTTGGTAAATGACGTACTAAAAGTGATTTTGATTTCTGTTTGAAGGTTTATATTTGTCTCTGAATATTAATCGTGACATAGTTGTCATTGGTGTGACTTATTTTGCTAATAGATAGCAAAAGATAGGCTAATTCTGAGAATTTTTTAAAGCTTTTTTTTTTATTTAATTGCTGATAAATTTGTCTGAAAAGATTGTGTCAGTTGTGTTAGTCATGAAACATTAAGAGATTTTAATATAGAAATGAAATAAGGTGGATGCAATATTTTTGTTTTTCTACATACAGTGCAACTTTGGAACTAAAGTGAAGGTGGACTTTATTTTAGAAAAGCTATTTTAGAAAACTTCTGTCAGCGGTGTTACCGTCTGTGGTAATGCATTTTTACTGATGTTGGTCAATAACACTCCTAAGCAAGTTATCTTTAGTTGTCTGTTATGTGGTTTCTGACACTAAAAAACATACTGTCATCTATAAATATGGACAAAAGTATAAACAGTATTCAGTTGTATTTATCTGTGAATATCAATCGTGACATAGGTGTCATTGGTGTGACTGTTCTTCTGCTTATTTTGGGGTTGTTGTCTGGTCGTGTGACAATTAAAGGCTAATGCTGAGAAGTCCAGAGTTTTTAAAAGCTTTTTTTATATTTTAATTGCTGAAGATTTTGGCTAAAAAGACTCAGACAGTGTCAGTGGTGTTACCCATGAAACATTAAGTGATTTTAAAATGAAAATGAAATGAAATACCAATGTAAAGGCAACATGTGTCATTTTCTACATGCAGTGTGACTTTGTTACCATGATTATTATGGACATTATTTTAGAAAAGCTTTTTTTGAAAAAGCAGCGGTCAGTCAGTGGTGTTACCGTCAGTGTTATAACTTTCAATACTGCCACATTTTACACTTGAATTTCAACATTCGTACCTTGTTTGCCAGCGCAAATGTAGAATGGCCCAAAAATGTAAGTATAATATCTCAATATATACTCAAAAGTTTGGGCGCCCCAGTCAAATGACAGGTTTTGTTGTTTTTCTAAGCAAGAATAAATACACATCCTATAGAGAACATAATTCTGCACATTTTAATGCATTATTACTGTTTATTTGCTGTAAAGAACAGATTGGGGGAAAAAATAAAACTCAGATGTGGCTTGTGCAAAAGTTATGGCACATATTTTATGCTGTAATTTTCCGATATGTTAAATAAATGAATAGACATTGTGCCGTATTTAGGTTTATTCACTACAGAGGATGTTAACTCATTTGTCAACTGACCGAGGGTGTTCAAACTTCTGCATATGAATATCATAAAGTGTTGTAAATATACAGTGCCACACTCTTTCGGCGGACATGTGGATGGAGTTATGGTGCGGCGCGGCGGTCCGATCGTGTGGCAGGTGTTTTGACACGGCGCTAAAAATAAAAGGAGCCGTTTAGCAGCTCAGGATGGAGATCCAATATGTGCCATTGTGCGCCTTAAGCGCCGATGTGTTTCCGCCGCCAGCGCTAACCTGTCGGGCTGCCCTGTTTTGGGATGTTTGTGTGTGCGCTGTTCTTTTGGCATTCCTCCATAGCTGGCTGTTACTGTGCGCAGGGTTAGCTTGCTTTCCTGCTTGTTTTCTGGATTTTCGTCTGTTCTCACCTCTCTGTGCTGCTTTCCTCCTTTTCTCCAGCGTCTTCAGTCCTTTTCTACTGCTGTACATCTGCAGTTGGACTCAGAGCTTATATTTCGGTTTGTAATTTGCTCGATGAGCTATAATTTTGCTTGATAATTTGACTCTGTCTTTTCCCAATATGCTAACTGAATGATTATGAGAAATATAGCTTATAGAACTGA